GACTGATGCAAATTTTGACATTTTCGCTCCACAGTGCTCAAACGGTTCCAAATCGGGTCCTGATTAGTCTACCAAAATTTGAACTCATTCGATAAGAAACTGACTTGGCACAAAGCATTTGAAGTTTATATGGAAATTACTATAGGAAAACCAAATCTTTTGTTCATATCCATTTAAAAATTTACCATATCGCTCTGCTTTAAAAAATGATAACTGAGCTCGTAGAAAATTTTCTCAGCTACAACTTTGTCTTAAACCACATTTCAATATAATGTAAGCATCAAAAGTTATCAATAATTCAAGCCTCTAATGTCTTACGATTATGCTCAATCAGCTGTTCAGCAGGCAACATTGGTGTTTCTGGCGCTTGGAATAGAGCACAAAAATCATGGCTACTATGCCACACTGCAAGATACAGTGTTGCTCACAAAACAGCTGCTTGATCATGCCATAAGATTATCAATCTCTTAAACAATTAATAACTATTTTATTTGACGTTTAACTCAACAACTATATTCTGCTAAGTTGAAGCTGAGAACATTTTCCATAAGCATAGCTTTTGAATGTTTAAACAGTGCAATATGGAAAAAGGTAAGAAGACAATGAACAAAAAGTTTGGATTTCTCATAGTAATTTCCATATAAACTTCAAATGGTTTGTGCCAAGTCAGTTTCTTTTCAAATGAGTTCAAATTTCGGGAGATTAATCAGGAACCGATTTGGAACCGTTTGAGCACTGTGGAGCGAAAATGTCAAAATTTGCATCAGTCTAGTGGGACATTCTTCAGCTTTTGGGAATCAAATTCTACTGAATTATTAGATCGCACTGATATTAAGGAGAAGGATGCAATTTCTAAACTTGAGAGTAAAAAATACGCAGACAGCCAAAGAAGAGCTAAAAATTCGACTATTCAAGTAGGGGATACAGTTTTAGTCGCAATTCCGAAGAAGCGTAAGTCGGACCCGGAATGTTCTGCTGAAAGATTCTCGATAATTGCAAGAGATGAAGCAAAAGTGATAATTCGTAGTGAAAGTGGGATTCAATACTCTCGTAACGTTCAGGAGGTTAAGAAGGTGCCAGAAGGTCTACAAGAGCTTGATGATAGAACGGTCAACAATGACATTGAAGTGGGAATCACAAACACAGAAACAGAAAACCATGGAAGTGAAACAGGAATTGAACTTAAGGACACGTTAGATGACAATATAGAAGTTATTCAGCGACCAACGCGAGCGACAAGAAAACCGAACAGATTCAAAGATATGATACTGTACAGCATTTTTGAATAACGAAAGATAATCAAACCACAGCAGAACACCCCAAAACGGATCTACATAGAAGAGTACAACTGCGGAAATCTCACAGGAATCGAGCTTGACGGCATAATTTAACAAAATAATAAATACTATAACTACTACGACGAACTTAAATAAAAAAAAACGATTATATTAAGACATTTTTAAATTCTTAATTACAATAACAGAGTAGAGGACAGAGGTATTGTAGAGAATAAAAGTGAAAGAGGCAAATAAATAAATATCTCCTGAAATAAAATTTAATTATTTTGATACTTGAAAGATTTCGCATGCATAAAATTCCACCTCGCTAAAAAAAAAACGAATATGTTAATACATTTTTTTAAATCTTAATTACAATAATAGAGTAGAGGACAGAGGTATTGTAGAGAATAAAAGTTAAGGAGACGAATAAATAAGTATCGCCTGAAATAAAATTGTTTTGAGACTTGAAAGATGTTGTACCCATTGAATTCCACCTCGCTAAACAAAAAATAGATATTGGCTTCATTTGGATGGTTAATATCTCGATGTAGTAAAAATTATCTAAACTGGCGAATGGCAAAACAAAACAGCAGCAGCGAGTAGGGTATAAAAGTAACTGTGCCATATTCCGTTGCTCATTCGATTGACTGACGACAAAGCGGACGGACGCAAACAGCAGCAAGCATCGCAGCAGCAAGCATCGCAGCAGCAAGCACAGCAGCAGCCACCTACATAAGGTGCAGTGCCACATTCCGTGGCTCACTCAGCAGTCGGACGACAAAGCGGACGAACGCAAACAGCAGCAAGCACTGCAGCAACCACCTACATAAGGTGCAGTGCCACATTCCGTGACTCACTCAGCAGTCGGACGACAAAGCCGACGGACGCAAACAGCAGCAAGCACCGCAGCAGCAAGCACAGCAGCAGCCACCTACATAAGGTGCAGTGCCACATTCCGTGGCTCACTCAGCAGTCGGACGACAAAGCGGACGGACGCAAACAGCAGCAAGCACCGCAGCAGCAAGCACCGCAGCAGCAAGTACCGCAGCAGCAAGCACCGCAGCAGCAAGCACAGCAGCAGCCACCTACATAAGGTGCAGTGCCACATTCCGTGGCTCACTCAGCAGTCGGCCGACAAAGCGGACGGACGCAAACAGTAGCAAGCACCGCAGTAGCATAAGGTGCAGTGCCACATTCCGTGGCTCACTCAGCAGTCGGACGCAAACAGAAGCAAGCACAGCAGTAGCAAGCACAGCAGTAGCAAGCACCGCAGCAGCGAGCGAGACCTGATCATGGATCATCATATGTTCGTTATATCACCTGGCGAACAGACCACCGGAAATCACGACACCCATGATTATATGAAAAAGCAGTCTAGTTTCTTGAGAAATACAAAAAATACTCTTAAAAATGGAAAAGTTGTCATAATTTGTGATTTTTCCGAAAATTATTCATTTGTTCTTCAAGATGCTGCCCAAAGTAGTTACTGGAATGATCCACAAGCTTCTATTCATCCTTTTTTGCATTTATTATTCAGAATCAGGTATAATTAAAAATTTAAGTTTGATCGTAATCTCTGAAGTTTTAAAACACGATACAATTGCGGTGCAAGTATTTATTTCAAAATTACTGAACTTTTTGCAAACAAAAATACAAGTAAAAAATGCGATGTTTATGTCTGATGGATGCCCAATATAAAAATTGCACAATTTTTGCAAGTATTTGTAAACAAGGTTGCAAAGACTCATTTCAGCTAAAACAATGTTTTTCTAAATTATGAAATAATTAGATGCCATGATCAAATTTTGAATTGGTAGGATACAAGAAGAGGTTGCAAAGAATGTGTTTGACATATTAAACCTGTTTATTTCACTTCATGAGAGTCACAATCAGCGATTTTTCACAAACTCACTCACTCACTCACTCACTCACTCAGCGATCAGCAAATCGCTGATTATGACTCATAGAAAGCAAAATTTACAGGTTTAATGTTTCCAACGCATACTTTGTAACCTCTTCTTGTAAGTTACAAGTAAAACATGCCATCATACCATCTTTTGGTTTTATTATTCCGAAAAACATTATTTTAGCTGAAATGAGTCTTTGCAACCTTGTTTGTAAATTTAAAACGAAGTACAATATTGATGTTGAATGGCACTTTTTTGCAACTTCGCATGGCAAGGGACCATGTGACGCGATTGGTGGCAGATTAAAACGAATGGCAAGGAATGCAAGTGTGGCTGTAGAACACGAACATCCAATCACAAGTGCAGCAGAGTTATATGCATGGGCTAACCAGAAGAGTAATGATTATTTAACAAAAATGTCATTTTGTTTTGTGTCACAAAAGGAATACGAACAAGGGGGCTGCAGAATGGAAGAGCATTTTTGAAAAGGCCAAAACGATCCCAGGTACAAGAAAATATCACTGTATTGTTCCGATTTCCGAAAATAAAATATCAGCGAAACTATTTTCGAATGACGAAGAACGCACCATTCATAACATATAAAAACATGCCAATCAAAAGTTCATCAAATTATTATTATTAAAGACGATCGAAAGTAATAAATGTAAGATGCAAATAAAAACGCATGGGTATTTCATTTATTTATCTTATTTATCTTATAAGTTTAAAACCAATTTTCCAATAGTCTATTGGTGGAAGGGTAAGCCGAAGGTAAGTACATTCATATCTTGCAAAACTTATCATATTTTATGGACAATCACGTATAACTTACGAAAAGGGCATATTTTCTACAAAAAATTGATTATGATGAAAGTAAATTTGAAATATCTCGAAAACGGTTACATTTAGGAAGTTTATCGATATAAGCACTATCGTTTGAAATGATTTTTATAATCATATACTGACATCAAACTGAACATTTTGCCGTAAATAATGAAAGTTTCAAAAATGCCTTAAAAGTTGCTCTTAGAAAAAATGTATTATTGAAAGTGTGTCCATCCTGAAGTTGTTTTCAAAAGTTTTCAAGTTTTTGTAATAAAAATATAAAAAAATAATCAAAAATACCTTTTTTTTTGTTATTTGAATTTTGAGGTTTATTTTTAATATTTTTTTTATAAAAAAACGAAAAAAAAAATTCCGTGTATATTTTTTTATAAAGCTTTATTAGTTTCCTACAACTCCTTCTTATTAAATTTGTTTCTATAACCAACTGTTTTCGAACTACATTTTTTTTAAAGTATGTATGCAAAAACACATAGGCCATTTTCGAAAATTACCCTTGAGTCAAAAGGGTCTCCTCTCCTGCGGAAAATACTTGGTCTATCATACTGAAAACATGTGCCAAGTATCATCCAGATCGAAGATAGTCAAGTTTGGTGACTGACCTATTTGGCGTGTTCTGACGGTTCTAATGTGCCATTAAAAGTTATGGACCGCGGTTTGTGTTTGGTTACTAGGTTTTAATAACGATTTCAAAATGTTCCATAACTCTTTGATGTAGTTTTGATGCTGATCAATCTTCCTTTGGATATATTCAGAACGAGTTTTTTTTTTATCGATTGTGAATATTTATTACGCGCGTATGTGTACGTATTCCAATGATTGTCACTATTTGATTTTCACAAATGTTTGTACCATTTGTCCCTTTTCCGTTTAAGGGGGAAATGCAAGTAAAAATTTTTTTTTATCTTTTTTTTATATTTAACTTTATTTTTTTTTTTTAAATGCTACGAACACGAGGAAGGAGTGATCTATGGCCCCGGTATCGCCGATTAACCGTAAGTTCCAGAAATCATGTTTTTACACAACTTAAAACTTTAAACACGTTTTTCTCGAAACGGTGTTTTCCAAATTGGCGGGAAAGATAACTCAAAAAGTTCTCATCCAAATGACTTGAAACCTGGCACATCTTAAAGGAAATAAATTTTTACTCTATGTGAACCACTGATATCATGAAAAAAATTAACAATAAATAATTTTCAGGCCTGCCTAAAGTGAAAAAAAAAACAGTGGAAAATCAACTTTTTTCCGATTTTTTTTTCAAAATTTTTAAATTGTTTTTTTTTTTGGGTTTTAGAGGTTCACAAAAAACAAAAATCTTTTCTGAATAAGGTCCAATTGATAAAAGTAAGTTTTGTCCATTTTTCAGGTCTTTAGAACGCCCCACCGGAGGCGACCTCGTTCCGATGTGACCCCAAGGAGCCACAGAAGTCACATACCAATGAAAAAAATCTCAAATGTATAGGGAGATTTAAGCAATTTAATGCAAAAAACCCCAAACGTTTGCGTTGTTTCATTTGCTCACAAAAAATTCCGAAAATCGTCGAGTTTTTGACGTGTTACTTGTATTTCCCCCTTAAGACGCAAAAGTTCAAAATTGTACCAGTTGTTCGAGTTTTTCAAAGAAACAAACTTTTGTTCAACTAATTGATTGGTACACGTTTTCAAAACGTCAGCTAATTGCCGGCTGCAAATGGAAATCCACACTTCTCTCAACAAGATTCGAAATAGCTTGCTTCAAATATTTCCTCCAACATTTGGCATTTTAACATTTGATGCCTACATACGCGCGCGTACTTTGCTTTCTCAACTCGAAGCGAAGCCTGGCTGGAGGGATCCAGCAGGGTCGCAGAGAAAGATTGTTGTTAACCGTCTGAAGGGTCGATAAGCTAACTGGGGACTCCCAGCAGGTTCGAGCTTCAGAATAATGATCGCCTCTTTATTGAATAATACTTCCTTTTTATACAGTTTGGTTTTCAATACATTGTGTGTGTTCGAAATGCCGGCGCCGGTGGTGTAGTGGTAAGCGTGACTGCTTTCTAACACCCCAATGGGTCTGGGTTCAATCCCAGCCGAGGTCGGTGGGATTTTTCTAAGGCATAAAAATCTCTGGTCACGTCTTCCTTCGGAAAGGAAGTAAAGCCGTTGGTCCCGGCCCATGTGTGTTGAATGGGTGTGATATCCTACGCAGGTGTGGAAGCTGCCTTCCTGCACATTCGATTGCCGTCAATGGATGGCAATCGATGTCCGTCGGTGATTGGCACTAGATTGCGGAACAGAGACCGACGTTAAATAAAGGAATGAAGAAGAAGAAGAAGTGTGTTCGGAAGAGTGATTAATTAATAGAGTGAGGCGGAAGCAGAAATAATGGATATAGGGTTAACTACCCCATTTCCGACCTATTAAGCACAACCCACACTTAGTCTTTCTCAATCTAGCGCAGTTAACCACCAAACGGAATGTTATTATTACTGATGGCTTCCAAATTTATTTACCTTTCCGTACGTACCGTAAGATTTGATAAAGAGAAACCAATCGTTGAGATATTGTCAAAAGTCTAAAGGCCGGCGCACAATAGATACGTTTTCAGGTTTTTTTTTACAGTTAGCCCATGCATTATCTGTCAAAAAACCCGAAAACGTATGTATTGTGCGCCGGCCTTAACACTGCTTCTTGACGCCAAACTCGGCCTACGGATTCTAAACTCGGCCTACGGATTCTTAACTCGGCCTAACGCATTGAAACGCCAATAAATTCACTTCGGCCTATCGGATTGTAGTGGCAAGGCAAAAAGCCTCCACGTTCGGTAAAATGGAGGAACCCGCTAGTCGGGCACTCAGAGCATAGGCGAAGCGAAAGAAGATTGAGTGGAGCAGATGCTCTAGATTTGCACAGTCCGTGAATAAAATGATAAGTAGTTTGACTATCAACTGAACCAGTCGTGCCTACGGTATCAAGAATAGAATCTACACTTTAACACCATAGAGGGAATATAGCACGGATGAACATAAAAATTGATTCGGACGGAGCGCTTCTTTTGTTTTTGGAAATAATGTGTGCAAACCTTCATATCACGCGTTCTCATTGACTTCTTTCCGTAGCTTATTAACTAAAGTATCGTACCAAATGCATAATTGACTTGTTAACTCTGAAATCATGGATTTATTTGATGTTTTCTGCTCGATAGGCCCAAAATGGGCGATTAGGCCGAAGTAGTTTTCAACCCTATTTTGGTTGCGGACCCGGCGTTGACATTCAAAAACATTCCTGCTGCGCGAACGACCTTCGGTCCAAACAGGAAGGATGGAAAGCGGGCGAGAGAGCGCTGCAGTTATCGTAAGAGTAATTCGTCGTATGGCTGGTTTAAAATTGCATAATAAATGCAAAATTGCATACTAAATCTATTGGCCGGGCATTGGCTTTGCAGCCCGGGTAAGTTTATTTTTGTTTTGATTGTGAATGCTGCTTGCATAGAGATGGGATGGCATACTACAAGCACCTCAATTAAAAAAAATATCGTTAATGTTAACATGGTCTAAGTCAGGGGTGCCGGTGGTGTAGTGGTAAGCGTGATTACATCTCTGAACGGAAGTAAAGCCGTTGGTGCCCGGTTCATGAGTTGATGGGTTGATAGGTAGGGTCCAGGTGTGGCATGTGGAAAATATGAACTTTTATTTTTTTAGTGGTAATCTAGTTGATACGTTGCATAAGCTGCCTGTATTTTGTTACAATATACGAACAAAATGCACATATAAATTCAAGAATGAATATCTCCATAATACTAACTTGAATCATGATGATGTTTTCAGCAAAGTTGTTCCTTATAGACTAAGCTACATGCGTTGAAATTCTGTGCTTAAAAGAGTTTGCTTAAGCAGTTTGATCGCGCACGGGCAGAACTTTTCCTATACGTTGAATAAACACAACGGATGTATGAATAAAAGACACAGTTTGCTTGACCGTCCTGCCATGGTGGAGGTATTCGAGATACTACTCTATTTATTGATAGTGTATAGGGATACAATACAACACACAGCTGGTAGGGTAGGAACACAGGTTGTGGACGTTTGCACAAACACAGTTCTATGCACGAAAGAGTGAAGGGATGTTATTTCACAATACATTTCGAAAAAAATCCTCATACAAGCTTAAAGTCAAAAGCGCCAGCTCGTGTTACATCAGAATGAGCTGAAATTTTCAGAGAGTAGTTGTCCCACCTAATGGCACAAATCTAGGGGTAGCCGGTTGAAAAAAATCATAAAAAATCTCCCATATAAATGTGGGCCAGTCTAGTGGATAATTGTAACCCCACCCCCTTTTTATTTCTCTGTTCGGGACCTAACACCACTGCGACCAGTAATTTGATCTAAAGGGTGATACGGTCAAAATTTGGTCAAGGGAAAACGCGTGTAAATCGGTGAAATCGTTTATATAAAAAATCAAATTAAATTTCTTTTTCAAGTTCAATTAGTATAAAATTCAGGAAAAATATTCAGTTAGGCTTCCGCTTTTCCAAATCCGAATTGCCGGGCCTTACGCTTGACCCCTGTCATCAGATTTTGTACAGCCACCTTGTCCACCTTCTTCGCCGCAGAAAGCCAGTTTGCCTTGAACTGCTGCTCGCCCTTAGCAGTTTTTTTGGTCTTCTTTAGGTTCCGCTTGACAATAGCCCAGTATTTCTCAATTGGGCGGAGCTCTGGCGTGTTGGGAGGGTTCTTGTCCTTGGGAACCACCTGCACGTTGTTGGCGGCGTACCACTCCATGGCCTTTTTACCGTAATGGCAAGATGCCAAATCCGGCCAAAACAGTACGGAACAACCGTGTTTCTTCAGGAAAGGCAGCAGACGTTTATTCAAACACTCTTTCACGTAAATTTCTTGGTTGACAGTCCCGGAAGCTATGAAAAAGCTGCTTTTCAAGCCACAGGTACAGATGGCTTGCCAAACCAGATATTTCTTTGCGAACTTTGACAGTTTCATGTGCTTGAAAACATCTGCTACCTTTCCCCTTCCTTTTGCCGTATAAAACTCCTGTCCCGGAAGCTGCTTGTAGTCGGCTTTGACGTAGGTTTCGTCGTCCATTACCACGCAGTCAAACTTCGTCAGCATCGTCGTGTACAGCCTCCGGGATCGCGCTTTGGCCGTCGTATTTTGTTTATCATCGCGATTTGGAGTCACTACCTTCTTGTAAGTCGATAGTCCGGCTCGTTTTTTGGCTCGATGCACGGTTGTAGACGATACACCCAGCTTATTTGCGGCATCTCGGAGAGAGAGGTTAAGGTTTCGCTTGAAACTACCGGCAACTCTCTTTGTCGTCTCAGCGGCTTCCGGTTTTCGATTTCCCCCGGATCCAGACTTCCTGGCTGTCGACAAACGTTCCCCAAACACTTTAATTACATTTGTAACGGTTGATTTGGCAACTTTTAGCGATTTTGCCAACTTTGCGTGAGAGTAGCTCGGATTTTCGCGATGCGCGAGCAAAATTTTGATACGCTGCTCTTCTTGCTTGGACGGCATTTTGACAACTGAAGAGTGAATTCCAAAATCAAAATAGGAGCAACATTCTGCACACACACACCTTCAAAATGAGGGGTGTTCAGGTTTTTTTTAATGCAAAATTGAAAGAAATACTTCAAGTTGATATTGACCAAATTTTGACCGTATCACCCTTTATTGTAGTATATCCCGTGTCCTTAGTTTAGTGCATGTCGTATTACTCCATTACTATTGAGAAATGCTGAAGTATTCGATTTTTTTACAGTTGTCATTCTTGCATGTATCGCAAGGATCCGACTCTAATTGAAAGGTTCCGCTATTTATTCTCTTCGGAATGTTGAAACACCCTCCAAAGGCGCACCCCTTTGTCAGTCAAAATTGGATTTCTTAGCAACAATATTAAGGAATGACACCGATAATGACCATACATCAGAACCCTAGTCTTAACCACTTCAAACCTAGGGAACAACGAATAGAAGATTAGGAATCACATAGATGAAGAC